ATACACTCATCGCCTTGACTGCGCTTGACCATTCCATCCATATACAGCACACAGAAGAGGTGGCAGAACGCCACGCCACTTTGACGGAGACCAGTGCTAACACTGAAAGGTCTCTACTTAACGCTATTTAGTTTGACGCCTCACCTACAGTCAATATATAATGATCTGGACGGTTCATTGAAACGATCCCATATGTTTGCAAGCGTATCCATGGCTTGTTACGAGAGATCTAGTGAAAGGCTTTCTTCATGTCAACAAAGCGCATATAAGCCGGATGTGCGAACACCCATGATTTCTCAGCAATTTAATGTTAGGCGAAGATCTGTTCAGAGTTGCTTCGGCCTGACCTGAAGCCACACTGCTCTTCTTGGATCTTAGAGTAAGGCATTCCTGGCAAATCTTTTCAAACACTATTGCATAAACTTTTCCCTGGATGCTCAGCAACTTCGTGCCCCTTTGATTATATCAGTTCCCTTCTTGAACCGGGTCACTGTCATCTCAATTTCCTAGTCCGCTGGTGTCTTCCTCGTAGCCATTGCAGTTTGACAAATACGTGTAAGCCAGCACGTGCCTTGTTCGCAAAATGCTTTGAGCATTTCATGGCGGATTTCGTAAACTGCAACAGCTTTTACACTTTTCAATCTTTTCACAACTTGTGTAATTTCATCTACAGAGACAGTAACATCGCTGCTGCTCTACAAGCGAGACTTCCTGCGGTTGTTCAGAATTAAGGAGTTCCTGCAAATACTCTATTCATCGCCAGTGAATGTCCTCCTCGATAAGAGAGCGACCAAACTTGTTCTTCATATTTCTTACGCTGCCCTTCTATTTGCCTCAGAGCCAGCAGATGGTCTGCCAGAATACCTTGTTTGCCGTTTCGAAATTCGACTTCAACACATTACCAAACTTCTCCCAAGAATTAGCTTTAGCTTTTGCCACTGCTTTCGCTGCCTCCTTGCGCGTTTCTAAGTAGGAAAGATGATTAAAGCAATTAAAGCGTCCTTAAGTTATTTGGCGGTTAACATGGAGCCATTCAACCGATTGCTGATTTGCTTCCGGTTACTCCATTCGTCACTATTGCCTCATATTTTTGCTGTTATAGACCGGCTTACTTGCTGAGAACATCTGCACTGTATATGTTCTGTAGATACCCCAAATGTCATTGTGAGAGGACTTATAGTCAAATGGCAGGAAGTGAAAGTAAATACAGAGGAAAAAATTTACAATAATTTCTGTTTTTTTCTGATTGGGTTTGAACTCGGGTATTCTTTTCCTACACAGATTTACCGTGTAATCAGAAGATGAACTTGTTGATCTGATTGGCCCTTTTGAAGCTCATGTCATGCAGCAGGAAAAATAAGATCAATGCCTCATTCGAGTCGACAACAACATATTTTACCGGGTGTTCGGAGGGTAGACGGTATAGTAAAACGATTTTCTTAATTTATGGATAAAAGTACGGAATCTGGTCTCATGTACATCCATCTTTCGTTTGACCCTTCTTCAGATATCTGTCTTAAATTGTAAAGGGGTCCGTCGCCACCATATTACAACTGTCTCGCTAGCTGAACACTTCACGGATGCTATAAATTCTATAAAGGGAATAATATTAATGTTGCAGGTAAAGTAGTTTTACCAGGGTTGGCACCCAAAATGGAGTACTTTGTAATCGCTCGCAAACAACGCTTACGAATAGAGAAGATTGAAAGAAATGTTGAGTCGATTTCCTTGAGAGTGCTCCTAACAAGGACATGTCTGATAAAGCGTATAAAGTAAATATCACAAACAGTTAAAATAAGATGGCGAAGCGTACTATAGCAGTAACTATTAAGTTTATAGTGAAACGAATCCTGACTTTTTTTTAGATATTTGCTAATCACTGTGGGTATGGTACTGATGAAATTAAACGAGGTAGATCGAGCCGAAACTCTCAAGGATTTGGTGGAAATGTGCACTGGTGTTCAGCATCCGCTGCGCGGTCTTTTCCTGCGAAATTATCTTCTGCAATGCACTCGCGACTTCCTCCCTGATCAGAAAGAGGACACGTAACGCAGAAGCATCGGTACTGATCTAAACTCCTTTTTCATTCGTTGTTATTTCGTTCAGAAACGGTGACCCCGAAGCAATGATGAAAAATTCAATTAACTTCATTCTGGAGAATTTTGCGGAAATGAACAAACTTTGGGTGCGAATGCAACACCAGGGTCAAAGCAAAGAAAAGGAAAGGCGAGAGAAGGAACGACGTGAGCTTCAGATTCTGGTTGGCACAAACCTCGTTCGACTGTCACAACTGGAACATTTAAATTTGGAAATATACAGAAAGGTTAGCTAGCGCGTAACCCACCCCTTCAAATCTAGTTCATTATTGTGTTCTTTGATATACATGAGCTTTGTCCATGCACACCTCTATCTTCTTCAGACAGAAAGACCTGCTTTCTTGCCGCAGCAGTATAGAAGCGTATATTATCGTTTTAGATTAGATGGATAGCAAACGAATAGCGGGTCACGCTTTTCTCCATTAAATTCTGAGTTCATTTAAACCGGTAGGTCCTGGCAGAAGAGCAAACATACATTGGCAGACATTCTTAAAAACCAATTCAATTCGATCCAGACATAGCGGCTTTCATTTTTCGTTTCAAGATGATTGATATTACAGTGATTTACTTATTTCTATGCAAGTTTATTTTTTCTCACTGGTTTCATCGTTAGTTTACAAGATACGTTTGTTAAAATTATTTTTAAAACTTCAAACTGGAAATTAGTTTTTATTAATTATCAGTTTGCATAGACAATTCTCCCGAAGATATTGGAACAGGTTGTCAGTTGCAAAGACCCGATCGCCCAAGAGTACTTGATGGAGTGCATAATTCAGGTGTGTTAGCAGGACAGTTTTTTGCCTTGACTTTTCATCTGTTTCAATGTTTTTTTTGTTTTTCCAGGTGTTTCCCGACGAATTTCAGGTCGGGTGTTTGAATGTATTTTTAAAAGCATGCGCTGAAATGCATCCACTCGTAAACATAAAGAACGTGCTGAGTGCCGTCATTGACCGGTGAGGAGTAACAGTCACGAGACGCGGCATTTTATCCATCGCGTATCTGACAGACTTGTTTTTCAGCCTGACAATTTACGGCTCTACTAAGGAAGGTCGCCTCCTGACCGAGGACATCAAACTTTTCGACGTCTTTTCGCAGTACGTGTCGATGATCATTCAGTCAAGACAGGACATCGCCACTGAGGACATTATTGCGCTCCAAGTGTCGTTGTTGAATTTGTCAATGAAGTGTTACTTCGAGCGGACCGATTTCGTTGACAAAGTGTTCGAAACGACGACCCAGTTGTTCCAGCGGGAACAGTCAGAAAAGTAAGGCTCAGAATTGCAGCGTAGTTTCCGTTGCAGGTTACCTTTCTGTTAGTTGTAGAAGCGTATAGGCTGTATCGTCCTTCTTCCATACACATACGTGTTTCTCTCATGGATACTGTTCACTAACTGCGGACGCATTGGAGTACAGTACAAAACAGTACAAAAGCGCCACAGACTTTGAGCAGACCTTCAATGCAGCACTGAACTATTGTGTATTTTGAATCCAAGACTGTTTCTTGCGGGTGAGAGATGACGAATGTAGGCAGCTTATCTGTCCAAGCTCTGTTAGGCATCGATGACACCCACAGCAACAACGTGCTCTTAAAAAAATTTCTTTATACAGATATACATAAGCAAAGCTTATGTTCACTAAATAGGCGATATTAGTGTCGTTTCCTGTTTAATTAGATCATGGTATAAAATATTTCACGCCATGTAATATAGCTTCAACTTCGAAGCGATTTCAGATTGCAGTTAGGGTAGTGTACCTCATTCCGTAGCGAAAAGGAAGCTGTGTGATGTATTTGTGAATCCTTCGACGATAAGTGTCAGTGGTGAACCGCAGTCTGCCAGTCTGAATTCGCGGCCAGAAAGTTCTTTCCCCTAACACAATTACTTTAAAATTTTGAGAACAGCAGTCAGCCTTCAACACAGTTCTGAGAACAGCACAACCTTGTTAGTAGTCATTTCAAGGCCAATGAAGGTTCAGCTTCCTGCTGTCTTTGCGGTTGCAATACCGTGTTTCATTTCTACCAAGTGGACATTAAAGATTGTTCTCAGAATTGCTTTCCATAAAGATATATTCCTATACTTGTAGTATAAAGCCTTACATACCATGCTCACTTCGTTTGCTTCACTCTAACACATGGAATTATCAACCTTAAGGGAAGGTGATTTAGAATTCCTTACAACGGTTCTGTTGGTAAGGAACTGACAAAGCTGTGTCGTATCCCGGTGGACGGCTACAACAACGTGCTCACTTTACTGAAATTACCCAACTATCAATCAACCCTGGAAGTGTTTGACTATCGGGGTAGGATTCAGGTGAGCTGATCATGGGAGTATGCAGATCTCTACCAAGTTTTCATTAATCGATATTTCAGAACAGCTTGTACATTACTGCCAATATGCTGTCAAATGAGACAATGGTGATGACGGTCGAGGAGACGAACAGTCTGTTGACGCTGCTCGGATCCATGATCAAGGATCAGCCGGATCAACCTGCGGATCTGGCGTCAAGTGATGAATTTGCTGAGGAGCAGAACAGTGTTGCAAGAATATTTCACCTGCTTCGTTCACAGGATGCTGATACTCAGTACCTTGTGAGTTATCTTTTGTGGAACGCTAAGTGTATAATTTTATGGCCGGCATTCCGCTTGGTCCTTTGTAACGGAGGAATTACTATCATCAGAAATTTCGGTAAGGGGCTTATTTTCCACTGTTCTCGTTAAACAGGGCCTCCTGTCCATATGATAATGAATAGGTATTGACCAGAGTATTAAGTCGGTTGTCATAGCATAGGTATGATTCAGCATATTTGCCCCTAATCCATATGATCACCATGAGTGATCACCGCACATTTTCTTGATTCGGTTCTTTGTTTGGGCAAATCTAAGTACTGCTATCAGTACTATCCAAAGATTGCAAAATAACGATAATTTATATTGGTTAGCTGCGAAATTGGCAGGAAAGGTGATGAATCAGCAGCCGCAGACAATATGATTAAAAATTACCGCGAAACCTGGCAGCGGTGGTGTGACTTGGAGAGATCATGCCGCCATTAAAGAAACATGCTGCCAAGGCTAAAGGAAACATGCCTTGTCACTTTCCATTTTCTTCTCATAATATATTCTTTCGAATAAGATTTTTACTGGTACGCTGTTTTGCATTCTGTTTTTGCGTGGCTGTGGCTTTGTCTATAGTTTTGTATAGTTTTCTGTTTGTTTTCATCGGTATCGTAAGTTCTTATTTCATTTGCGCAGTTTTGTTATTTTGTTTATGCTGAAAAGATTCGTTCATCTTGTGTACTAAATAAACTTTCAACTCAGTGAAGGCATATCCTGAACCTTCAGAATTACTACTACCACTACATCTGAGATAAGGACAACCAGATGTTAGGTATCTTACACCTATGGCAAATTTGTTTAAGCGAACAACGTTTTGACTCTAAACCTGAAGTGATAAGAGCAATCTCATTAACAGAGAATGACATTTTAATGGATTGATTTCCTTTCTGGTTTTATGATATCCTCCTGAGGATGATTTCATTTTCTTTTGGTGACGAGCTTTAAGGCTAGATTTAAATGAATGATTTTGAGAAATATTCATTGTTTCTTTTTCTGAACCTTTGTCTATCAAGTTCCTTGCTTTTAGATACTTCATTGCGCCAGAAAACATTTTGGGGCTGGCGGTTCAACGCGAATCAAATACGTTTTAGTCCCCATTGTTTTCGAAGCTTTCCGCTTAGCAAGGGAGTATGATAAAAGTGAGGTCAAGGTAAACAGTTTTTTCTACATTTTAAAGTAGCTTGTGCAGTTTGTTCATATTTGTTTTATTGTAGATTTTGTTGCTCATTTTTCTCTTAATTTCGTTGTTCTTTACGTTCACATCCGTCTTTAAGGATGATAAATGGGAGAAAAAGATCAAGGTCATTTTCCAGTTCGTTCACCAGACGGTTTCGGTGCTGATGAATGACGCGCAGTTTCCTGATATGGCATTGCGATTGTTCTTGCAGGGGGCGTGCATCGCTGACGAAATCAAGTTCGAGTCACACGAAATCGTCGCATATGAGTACATGTCGCAGGTAATGTGATCGATGATGAAAACTATGACTGCGTAATGGGGGTTTTAAGTTTATGGCTTGCGCATTTATGCACCCGCATGTCTGTTTCTTTCAGAACAGCTTCATGCATATCATTCGTAAATTGCGAGAAAGCATTGGATAATGGCAGAACAGTGCGATTCTTTGCGCGCTGGTAGCACAAGTGATCGAACCTAACGACTAATTTAAACCTGTTCTATCGCAGATCTAAGACCCGGAGAAAAAAGGTGTCTGATAACGAGCAGATCTTGAGTCATTAATGAAGAATTCATTTCAGAGCTCATAGGATTGCATAGAAGCAGAAAACGACTAAATGTTTAAAATTTGTTGGCGATATCGTGCTTAATACAGATAAATACGGTCTTTTCTCAGTGTAGGCTGTATGGAAATTATTTTCCGCATGAGTCTTGTGAAAACTAAATGGTTCACCAATAATTAAACGCAAGAGACCGAAGTGCCCATCATTAAAGCAAGGGTAGAGAAGATCCTCGGTCACCATAGGCAGAACACGCTGACGGATGGAGAACATTAGAGGATAGAGTTAGTTGGTATAACCACAACGTTATTCATTGGATTTTGGAAGGACAGCTCGACAATGAGCTGAAAAATCAGTTCTTCAGCATCATCATACTGCTCGCGGTGTTTTCTTGGAATGAAACATAATTCATAATCTAATAAGATGAAGGAACTCTAGTGGCTGCGGCAACTGTGCGGACCTATCAACGCAAAATTCGACGGAAGGTCAGGCGCACGCAAGTATGCAAGCACAGATTGAGAGTTTAGATGGGCAGAACTACCGTAGCTGGTATTGAGGAAATTAACTTCTTGTAGTATTATTCATATTTCCATCTATAGAAAAATGGACACATAGTGGGTGCCCAATGAACGAAGCAAGCTGACCGTTAAATAAAATTTGCCATCGTCGTTTCACGTTTAAGTTATCTGTCATATGCCAGAAAAAGTATTCAGTTGATAAATTATGGGCCAGTATCGAAAAGCGCTTCAAGAAGCGTTTGGTAAATGTTAAATCCACTTATGTTTTACCCACCGTTATGCTGTGTTGTCATTAGATGGCTACGATGCTGCTCTGTGGTATTTTAACACCTGCTTTCCATGGTTTCATTTCACTTCACATCTCGATTGAGCTTGTACAACAATTTAACTTTCATAATTTAGCATGTGACAGTGTAAACAGAGGATTATTTTAGACAAAGTATTTTAAAATGTAGGTCCATGTTTTGGAGTAGCTATAACGAATGGCAGAATTATCCTTCCAGTCTGTTAAGGGGTTCGTATTGCTTATGATTAATAAGTATTACATGGCAAGAGCATTCATTTCGCTCTAGCCACACAAACGAGTTGGCGTTCTAACTCAGTTACGTGATTTTGCGTTTGATGCATTGCAGGTGCCTGAATACCATGAAGCTGAGACCTGCTCAAATGGTACCCCTAGTCGTTTAGAAGCAAGGAGGCGGTGTAACGTCGCCGTATAGCCCGGTGTAATAACTTTCTCTAATCTTAGGCTAGGGCAGTATCATCGTAAAATAAGAAGCGTATTATAGATAGAGAATAATGATTTTTTTATTTGTTTCAAATGTGTTTGTTTTGGCCAAATTTATAACAGCAGCAGTTTTGCTATTTTAATTCTACTTAATATGTAATTTAGGCTATTTCGATCTATGAAGAAGAAATCAGCGATAGTCGTGCTCAGCTAGCCGCCATAACCTTGATCATTGGTACCCTACAGAAAATTTCCTGCTTCAGCGAGGAAAACTACGACCCTTTGCGAACTCACTGTCTTCTGCTTGCTGGAAAACTATTTAAAAAGCCAGACCAGTGTCGCGCCGTGGCCACTTGTTCACAACTGTTCTGGTCAAGTCGACTGGCAGAACCAAGCGACACGGTAATTCGAGAAAACTCGTTTGTGTTGCTGTATGCTTTCACTTTGAGACTGATTTTGTGAACAAAGTCGGTCAGTCAGGATGTTTAGATAACTTAAATTCGCTTCCGTAAAGTGGTTGACTCTACCATAATGCTCTGATGAGGATGAGCCGCAGGCAATTTGTTAGTCAGTCAGCCTCTCTCTCTAGCCAGATAGTCAGTCTCTCATGTAATAGCTGCGGCATTAATCCAGAATGCTGAGTTGTTAAGCTCATTATACTCCAGGTGATTATAACCACAAGGAACTGTGGTTCAGGAAATGTCGTATAAAAGCAAATACTGCTTCCATACACAGGTGTAGGGAACGTCGAGTTTTTTGAGCCAGAATCTGAACGTAAACTAGAGCGTAAACTTAAACTAGACCACTGAAGAACTAGATATATGCTGCACCCAATATAATACATCCCTGAGGTTATTTAGGCGTTTTCCGCAAAAGGTTTTCAAGTAATTTAGAGACGGGGATTAAATTATAGTTAGTAAAATCTTTAAGTTTACATAACTAACTTATCATTTAAATCGTTTAATATAAATCTAGCTAGTTTTTAACGATTATTGAACTTAATTTAAAAAGGTCTATATCTCCTGTAAACTTCTTTTTAAAGACGCCTAGTGTTAGCAACAGGTATTTCTTACATTAAGAAAATTTAAAATAGAACAAAATATTACCCAGATAATCTCGGATGGCTGCCAAAAACGGCAGCTTTTCGAATAAGTAATTTTGCTTTAGTGTTCGCCGTGTCAATTTAACATATGCATTTGAAAGATAAATTTGAAATACTTTATAGAAGTTGAGGATTTAGTGGTCATAGAAATGAGTAACAGTCCAGTTGGGTGTTCTCACGCTAATTTCACAAAGAAAAGAGTATGCCTTAATTATGCGGATGAATGTCATAGTAGTTGTATTTATTTACAGTTTGAGAATAGATCGCCATTGCGATGGTTCCACTGTTAAAAACTGTATGGTTTCTACAATTAACCTAATGGTAATGAAGTTACACGTACGAAAAAGTTACACGTATTCTAAATAAATCAGTAATTCTTCATATTTCTGATTCTGGGTCCGTAGTTATATGCGTAGTTGTTTGAATGGTTCCTGGTTCGGGACACCAAATGCAGCAGATGATAAACAGTTTAATGCCAACGCGTTTCACTGTACAGACCGCGGCGTCCTCGCAGTGTTCAGCCTTGTTGATCCTTTCAAGCTACAATGTGTAAAATCGTATCCAATGCGTCGTTTTGCTAACAACCACGTGATATATGCTTCAAAGCTAATATATCATCGTAAATATTAATGACTTCCTTACAATGACCTACCTGAAGCGAAGTCCCTAAACTAATCCTTTCAGTTTCTTTAAATTCTAAATATGGAACATTCGTCCTTGTGTTATTGCATCCAGTCGAGATTGTCCTACAGATAAATGACAAAAAATTTTAGGTGAAAGAAGGGGGACGCGTCGTAGAATGCCTGCAGAAGGCAGTCAAAATTGCCAGTCAGTGCATGGACCCCATCGTTCAGATGCAGCTGTTCACAGAGGTCCTAAATTGCCATTTGTATTATAGTGAAAACGGGTGTGCGGAAGTAAACATTTACGATTTATTTTTTTAACCAGCGAAAACCTATATTTTTCAGGTCACAGTAACTATTATCAATAAGTTAATGGCGAAGATTCACGAAACGTTGCAGCACTTGGAACCGAGTGTTGAAGTGGAGCAGATTTCGAAACATTACGAAAATACGGTTCAACATTTGCGGTTCAGGCGCGAAAACCCAACTGCTGAAGATCCTCTTGACCTCGCCGGATTAGTTTTATAATTTTATTGAAGTATCTGCTTTTGTTCGATAACTATTGTTAAGTACTTAAGAAATTTTTGGTTTTTAATTTATACATTTATTGTATAACGTAAGAAGCTGGGTATCATTTCGAAATATTTTTGGAATAGACTAAATTGTACTGAGAATGAACACACCGAATAAATAGATCTAAGTAAAAAGTCCGCCTTGTCTCTAAGTTATTCAGCTTACCGTCACACTTGTATGCCCCTCGAGTAGCTGCGGTAAACATGATAAACATAACTTAGATGACCCTTGCGAAAGAGATGTTAAAGGCAGGTTTATGATGTTTCCCTGGTTTACCTCACGTAGAAGCTCAAGCAACATGCCAGACAAAGCCGTTTGCTGGAATGAAGTTCCTTTTCGCCGAACAACTGAAAGGTGGGTCAAACCTTGTGCTGCATATTACACTGGATATTTAGCTACCTGGTTGGTGAAGGCGAAGAGCAACCAATGACACAAAGAGTGCTTGGCTTGCATCGGACAACATGGCTGAACGCCTCGTCCATTTCTAACATTACAAGATTA